TGTGATGGGATAACAATATATTTTGGATGGAGGGAACCTCTGGAGGAAATTATGTTTCTAAGCAACAATGCTGGCTTGTGTAGGAAATTCTTATAGACCAGGATTAGAAAGTAAATAGCTATAGTTTACCTTCAATAAATGGGAGTAGGAACCCATAGAAAAATATTGGTCATTTAAACTTACCATAATTTCGTGCCTGGTTTCTGAAACAGTTCTGTGGATTTAGAACCATTATTCGATGGGAAGGAAGAATTCCCCACATCAGAGTCCTAGGATGTGTCAGGTCACTAGAAGAGAAGTTTTGTCACTACCAAATAAGGCCCTTAGCAGGGTATAATAGAAAAGGTAAAACAGCAGGCCACCTCCATCGCTGTTGTGTGGTTCAGTGAAGTTCTACACATAAGATAAAACATAATTTAAACAACTCAGCTTAGGTTCGATATGCCGGGGAACAATGCAGTGGTTAGCTGTCAGTGATGGTTGGTTCCTTTTGAGCAAAGGCGTCTTGTAGTCTGCAGAGCTTGTGATCTGTGCCGCTTCCACATTCAAGCAAGGTTGAAGAGACTGCTGTTGGAGCATGGATCTCTCCAGCCCTGTCCGTGCGCGTGGGTCACGCTTCTGCTGGCTTCTTCTACTGCAATAATAAAAAGTACTAAATCAGTAATTGGCAAAGGAAAGGTGAAACATTAGGGCAGTAAGATACTAGAGTTAAAACCTTCTTGGCGTAGGCATAAATTTAGCTGCTTAATGTAGTTGAGAGATAGCAGATATCTGTGAAAAACTGGGCATTTCTCAGTTTACTTGATTAAAGGAAAAGTGATAAAAAGAAACACTCAAATGCTGCTTAAAAGTAACTGATACTAATTTGGGGCCAGGAACTATATAAAGTCTTTATGTAAACTGTCTAATTTAATCCTCTCAACAATCCCATGATGTAGGTAGTATCCCCACTAACAAATGGAAGCAAAACTGTTTAACCTGCTCAAGATCTCATAGATATTAAGTGATGAAGCTGGAATTCAGATACCAGAAAGTCTACCTTCAGAAACTAAGTTCTTAATATTTTCTGTGTTTACATAGACAGCATACTCTTTCCCCCAAAAGAATTTAGCATTTTTTTCCTTTATTGTTTCTGGATTCATCAGAAAACTGTCTTTTAAAATAACTTATTTAAAAGTACAGTAGATGGTTGTAACTTTTCCACTATGAAGGACACAACAGATTCAAGTCTTAAATTCTCAGATGCTCAGAGCTGACCATCCAATTTTTTTTTTTTTTAATCTTCACCCAAGGACACGTTTCCATTGATTTTCAGATAGAGTGGGAGTAAGGGGGAGAGAGAGAGAGAGATCAATGTGAGAGAGACATACCAATTTGTTGCCTCCCACATGACCCCAATGAGGACCAGGGATAGAACCGCAACCGAGGTACATGCCCTTGACCAGAATTGAAACCGAGACCCTTTGGTCTGCAGGCCAATGCTCTAACTGCTGAGCCAAACAGGCCAGGGCCATCCAACTTCTTCTTTTTTTTTTTTTTTGTGGTTCATGCCCCTTGCGGGAACCGAACCTGGGACTCTCTGGTCCGCAGGCTGATGCTCAACTGCTGAGCCAAACTGGCCAGGGTCAGGGTCATCCAACTTTTAACTTGTTTCCTGTTCCTCTCAAATCCTTTCCCATTCCTCTCAGTTGCAAATCTAAGCCATTTCCAAATTCTATAAGATTTAACTCTCATTCCCCCATCTCGTCAGACAATTTTGCCTACTGTGTCACTGAGGAAACTGAGGCTACCAGGCTTCAAGTCCAAGAACTCTCTCCTGCTAGACTAGCAAATTTACCCACATATACATGCATCTTTCCCATCTCCCCTCGGAAGATAAGGTCTCCTCTCCTCTGGTTCAATCAAATTCCCTGTCAATGCTTTTGGTTCCATCCCCACCTTCTCTTTAAGGAACTTGAACCATTACTTTTCATAATATCTTTTGTGCTGTTTAATTTGCCAAATGCATTGCTACCATGCCCACAGCTTCTTATGAGGGCAGGCAATCCACCCATAGTCCTTGCAAAGGGGCAGCCATATTTTACACCATGTAAATCCCTGTGTACTAACTGCCTGGACAATGTGGGCACCTATTTCAAAGGGCAGCCAATTTACAGCTTGGCCAAAGAATTCAGACATATTCCTGGCATGAAAATAAGCAGGGTCTGTCACCGTCTTAAAACTTTTCAAAGGTGCTCACTGCTTTAAGAATGAAACCCATCTTTAAGTGAGATGAGTGAATTTTTATCATTAGAAGAGTTTTTAAATGATCTTTGATGTATATGTCTTGCTTGTGAATGTCATTCACTTTAATGTGGAAGTAGATTTATACTGTATAGTTGCTGGAGAGCTAAGCAAGTTAATATAGGAATAATAATGTTGAACATTATTAGTAATAACAATACCACTCACAGCTGCCTATTATATGGGTTTTATATACATCATCTTGTCATCATTGTAATTAAAGAGTTATTAATGACAGGAAAGGAGCAAAAGGAAGACCAGACACTATAGGCATGTGATTTGGGCAGCTTCGCCAGGAAGCTACAACTTTATACCCTCCAGGGGTCCAACAAAGGGAAGATGGATGCATGCCCAGTAAAGTTGGGATGACATAGGGAAGGTGTTATTGTCGGTCACACCTGAGAACAAAGGTCATTGGCCAAAATGGGCATGGCTACTGTAAAGGCTTGAAATTTGGGATATTTAATTACCTAAATAAAAGTATTTGCTCTCTAGGACTCTTGGCTCTCTTACCGCTTTTGGGACTCTCGGGACTTGTGTGACTCTGGGTTTGTGGGGGTCCTTTGCATTTGCCCACATGGCCCATGGTCATGCAGACCACATACACAGTGGACCAATGGACTGCAGCTAACCTAATGCTGAACTGGACCCAGCTCCAACATGCAAACTCTGGACAATGGCTCTGTTTCTGGCTTTACTGAAACCCCAGCTACACTTCTTCCATTACTGGACTATGAGAAATGGGACTTTGGAAATGCAGAAATTTAATTTCATGAAAATAAAGCTTTCTACCCTATCTTATTCTCCTGTGGGAGCCTCTGAAATGCTCACTCCAGCAGTTTCCCAAGAATCCCACTCCCACTAGCAATAGAGAAAGAGCACCCACTCTTTTTTCTGATAATAATCTCTGATTCTCACAATAATCCTGCAATGTAGGTTCTGATATTCCAAATTTTCAGATAAAGAAACTAAAGCTGGGGGGACTTAGATAATTTTCTAAGGTCACTCAGTTAATGTGTGGCTGAGCTTGGAGTCTGGATCCAAAGCTTATGTTCTCTTTGTCCTCTTTATACTATATGTGGCTTTTTCCTAACCAAAAACACGGAGGCATTGCTTAATTTTATTGTTTTTTATTTTAAAAAATTTTTTAATATTCATTTTAGATAGAGAGGAAGGGAGAGGGAGAGATAGAAACATCGATGAGAGAGAGCATTGATTGGCCACCTCCTGGGGATCTGGCCCACAACCTGGGCAGGTGCCCTAACCGGGAATCAAACTGTGACCTCTTGGTGCATGGGTCGATGCTAAACCATTGAACCACACCGGTCGGGCTGCTTAATTTTATTTTATCATCTGTCATCTTGGGTTGACATGAAAATTATTGGAGTTGGTTTACATAAGTATATAAGTAACATAATTAACAGATGAGTGATTAAAGGAAGGAGAATAAAATCAAGCTGGGGCAAATTTATTATATAAGAGTGCATGCCATAGGTTTTGTAAGTAGTTAAACAGGGTCTGTAAGGATTGCCTCACTAGGAAGAGCGTTGCCTTTAGGAAGACTTGTAGCTTCTTCAAGGTACAGCTCTCTGGAGAGGCACTTCAGGAGAAAAAGAGTGAGGATGGAGATGATTTACCGCGAGCAATTTGATAGTGTCTTTGGAGGAAAAGTTACACTTAACAAAGACATGATCCAAACTTCTTTAAATTTGAATCACCCTAAGACTTCTTTAATACTTACATTCTTTTCCCAACTGGCCTATAAAGTGGGGTTCAAGTGGAGAAACCAATATATTGTTCAGAGTTATGATTTGGGGGAGGCGGATGTCAGAGATTCTGAGCAATAACCTATGAAAAACCCAACTGCTAATTTGAGTATGTAATTACAAGGGTAGGGTTTGGACTTGGAGTGGTGGTAAGTATAGAGCATGCGTGCTTCACTAGCAGATCAACTGGTATTTGATAACGTAAATCTACTGGACCACGGCTCAGTGCGCCCAATCAGGATTGCTATGTCTTTCTCCCTGAGCCTTCGGTATCCACAAGCACAGTACTTCTGGGGTGCAGTCCCACTTCCGTCAGCTTTGCTAGTCTGGGCCAAGAGACAACCAAAGGCTCGGGAATTAAATTTCCTGGAGAACTGAGCTTCTTTCCAGGTTCCTCTCTGCCTTGTCTACGTTTATTTTCAAACACTCAAGGGGGAACACCTTGGGCTTCCCGACGCGCCCTAGAGCAGGGCCCAGGGATCTGCATTTCCAGCCACCATCTCAGGTGGATTTGATGATGGTTCAGAGACTGCACTTTTAAAAACAGGGTAGACCAGGTAAGGATGGTGACACAAGAGTTAGCAGTTAAAAGCTGTCCTCTTTTGGATGCTTTGGAGGCTAAGGCTTTGTCTGGGCTTAATTCACACCTTAGAAAATCAAAACAGCGTGGAGTCGATGCGTCAGTCCCCAAGACACCTGCTACGGGGAGACTCGCCCACGCTCCAGGCCAGCCGACGCCGGCTCCTCCTAAACCACAGGTCTCCCGGCCATCGGGGTTCTCTGCCGGCCTCCCTGGGTCTCAGGTCCACGGCAGCCCACAGCTCCGCGCCGCCCCGGCCCGCCAGCCGCAGCGGCTCCTCGCAGCGAATCCGAGAACAGGCCGGAAGCGGCCCCGGGCCCGCCCCCTACCCGCCGGAGCCGGAAGTGGAGGACTACAGCCTAGACGCGCCCTCCGCGGGCCGCCCGCACCATGTTCCCCGTGTCTCGCTGCCGCCTCGGGGTCCCCACGGCACCCTCCGCGGTCCTGGCTGTGGCTCTGCTCTCGTCGCTCTCGCGCTGTTCCCACTTGGAGCCCAAGGACCCCGCCGTCTCGGCGCTCAGCTCCTACTTCGGCACCAAAACTCGCTACGAGGATGCCAACCCCGGGCTGCTGCGGGGCCCCGAGGCGCCGCGGCGGGACCCGGAGCTGCTGGAGGAGAACTGCACCCCGGTGCAGCTAGTCGCGCTCATCCGCCACGGCACCCGCTATCCGACGGCCAAACAGATCCGCAAGCTGCGGCAGCTGCACGGGCTGCTGCAGGCCCGCGCGCCCGGGGAGCAGCGGACCGACGCCGCCGGCGGCCGAGACCTGGGCGCCGCGCTGGCCACCTGGCCGCTGTGGTACGCGGACTGGATGGACGGGCAGCTGGTAGAGAAGGGGCGGCAGGACATGCGACAGCTGGCGCAGCGCCTGGCCTCCCTTTTCCCGGGCCTCTTCAGCCGCGAGAACTACGGCCGCCTGCAGCTCATCACCAGCTCCAAGCACCGCTGCGTGGAGAGCGGCGCCGCCTTCCTGCAGGGGCTGTGGCAGCACCACCACCCCGGGCTGCTGCCGCCCGACGTCGCAGGTGACTCTCCGGGCCAGAACCCTGCCTCCATGCTCCCCCCTTCCCGCCCCAAATCTTCCCCCAGATCCCGGACTTCCCCAGCCCCAGCCTCTCACTTCCCTCTGTCCCCCGCCCCCCGTCTCTCGAGCCCCCATCCCACAGTATGGCTGTCTCCCTTCCCATACATGCATTTATTGGTTTATTCATCAGGTATGAATATGGAACCTTCAACATGCAGGACTTTGTCGTAGACGTTGCCCCCAATAGGAAAGGAGCAGACAAGGGCCGTTTTTGATCACTTCCAACTTGACTTGCCCCCTCTGAGCAGCAAACCCTTCCTTTTCTCCCTCCCTGGTTGCTAGTTCTACCGTCGGGCACACTTGAAGTACAGTCTAGGAGTTTCTTTCTCATGCTTTGCTTCTGACACTGTTTGGATTTTTTTTGAAATCTTTTTTTTGTTTTTCAGATGTTGGTTCTAGGCCCACCTCCTATTTTAGGAAGGTACTCTCAACTTTTCCTTACTGCTCTGCCTTGTTCTTACATGTACTATAGAGTGACTGTGGTCCATGGTAATATGTAGTACTTTACTAATTTATTCCATTATTCTTTTGCAGAATATGAGATATCATGTATTGGGGCCCTTTATTTAAAGGTGGGGCAGCTGAGCCCAAGAATATGCCTTGTGGACTAGAGTCAGGCCCAGAATCCCAGGAATGGTTCTTTTTTTTCCCTTCAGAAAAGGTTTAATAGAGACAGTTAATACTAATAGCAAACACTTAATGTTTACTATGTGCCAAGCATGTTTTACATTTATTTCACAAAATCCTTACAATTGCTCTCTGAGGCTGATAGTATTTTCCCCCTATCTAACAGATGAGACATTTGAGAAGCAAACACTGAATAATTTGATTTTGGATAGCTAGTTATGGACCCAGGAAATCGATTTAGAACTTGTCTCTTAACCATTACACTACATAACTTCTGTTTGCCTGTAACTTAAAGATAAGAATAAAAGGCAACATTTTTGTGCCAGATGATCTTGTTCAGTTTTAAGGTCAGAGCTGAGGTGAGACATCATTTAGTTTCAAAGCCCAAGTGAAAAATGAAGTAGACTGGTTTCTCATTTCTCCATTAGCATACTTTCTTAAGCAGTTCAACCATCTTCAAGGGTTCTTCCATGGATTGTGTGTTATGGTATTGCTCTATGCAGGTAATTCAGTTGGCTGACTTGGAATTAGTCACTTGTTGAATTGTACTTTATAGTTTTAGCTAGGCTTTTTCTGTTAATATGAGTGAAAATTCCCCACGAATCTGTTGAAAGTAGAATACACTTTAGTATAGCACAGTGTATACTGGGTGGGTAAAAGTCGTTTTACAGTTGTTCATATGGAAAGTAATACAATAATTAATAAATAATAATGATACAGCAATAAACTCTTTTTTGCATACTCACAGCTGTAAACCTCTTTTGCCCAACCCTGTATAGTGTATACCAAAAAGGTGCAATTGTGGGAATTGGCATTGGCCTTGAAGTACAAAGCCAGGGATCAGAATAGTTCAGAATAGGCCCACCCTTCACCATTATCATCTCACATTAAATACCTTTGCCTAGCTACTTCATTGTTATTTAGGAACAATTGCTTTGCTTGTTGTGTACATCTGGGCTTTTGAGGGAGGACACAGAATTAGATTTTGTATTCTTACAGAAACAGAACAGTGCCTTTATTTCTGTTTAAAGTTGAGCAGTAATTAGGTAAATAACAAGAATGAAATATCCAGATCTACTTGGGAAATTGTATTTTGAGGCCACAAAAAAATGACAGAGATCACTTATTTTTCTAGTTGACATGCTTTCTTAAGAACTGTAATCCAATCTGCAATTAAAGTGGGCAGATTTATCCATTTCAGGATCTTCTGAAATGGATACAGATATATATATATATATATATATATACATATATATATATATATATATATAATATCTCCACACAAACAAGCAAAACAGGATAACTAGATTTGATTTTCTCATTTATATACAGAAATAGTACACTCATTGTTCTTTTCATGGTAAATTATTGGAGAAATGATTTAAAACTCTGTTTTAAATTATGAATCTGAAAAAACTTAAAAGGCACCCCAATGAAGCATGATTATGAATACTTTTCCAATCTATATTCGTTGCCAAATTGGGAAAATAATATAACTTACTAAATTAAATTTTAAATGGGAAATTCTCTGGGAGATTCAGTTTGAAAACAAACTAAATCAGAAGCACCTAGCACAATGAAAAACAAAAGCATTGTATTTTGTGCTGTTAGTAGTTTTTGAACCAAGTAGAGTCTTTTGTAAAGTAAACAGGTTTGAGACAGTTAATTGAGAAAATTAAAGACTCTATTCAGAGTAGAAAAACAGATTCTTGTCTGTTGAATTATCTCTAACCTTGTAATTAGAAATTTTGCTAATTTTGTTTGTTTTTCAAGTTTCTGTACCTAACAGAAATAGTACCTACATAACACATTTTTGTTGCTCTATGTCTTTCTCGACTAATGTGTCCTTATTTCAAATATGAACAAATAGGTTTTTAATGTTCCTTTTCATACTTGAAACAAACTTTTCAGTAATTTGAAATTGTCACTATTCCTTTCAGACATGGAGTGTGAACCTCCAAGAATTAATGATAAACTAATGAGGTTCTTTGATCATTGTGAGAAGTTTTTAACTGAAGTAGAAAGGAATGATACGGCTCTTTATCATGTAGAAGCCTTCAAAACTGGACCAGAAATGCAGAATATTTTGAGAAAAGTTGCAGCTACTTTGCAAGTGCCAGTCGACAATTTAAATGCAGGTAATGTGCCTATTATCTTTCATTTGAATTCTGAAATAGTTTAAATGGTTTTTGAACTCTGAAAGTGAAAAAATATGGAAGCATGAAGTTATTTCTTTTAAAGGGCCACAAGTGATTTTACAGTAAGAACATAATATGTTCTAGGTCAAGAAAATTGTACACCTCATGCTTACTGTTTTTAGATTCAAATTCGTTAAGTTTTATGTAAATTAATATACAAGATTCTTGCTATAGCCTGGAACATTTGTGAGAGCAGAGGTATATAAAGCTTCAACTCTTGGCATTATTTATAAAAGAAAAGTCTCCTCATAAAGTGGCACAAATGGAAAGTCATAAATTTTGCTTTTGAAGCAGTTTAGAAGTACATGTTAATGTTTTGAAAGGATAAATTTTAGAATGTGGAAGGCAGAGTAGTGTGATGAGGCTTTAAACTTAGAGATGCTGAGAAAAGGACCAGTCGTGTCTGTCATTAGGCATTATAGTGGAGATGGGCTGTCTGCAATTTATGCAACCTAGGACACTTTTGAGGGCAAAAGTGGTATTATTAATAATTATGCTTGGACAGTAGGCGGAAAACCAGGACATATGGTCACCTAGAAATGGGAAGTTAAAGTAAGATTTTTTTTTGTTTTCTAGGAATTTATAATGCTTAGAACAGGTGTTGACAGATATGCATACAGGGATTGTGGATTTCATTATATCGTAAATACATTCCCAAAAAACTAGAAGTAGGAGATGTGGAGGAGAAACATACCTGGAGTCTGTTAATCATGGAGCCTAAACGCTTTAAAGCAGGGGTGGGGAACCTTTTTTCTGCCAAGGGCCATGTGGATATGTATGTATAACATCATTCTCGGGCCATACAAAATTATCAACTTAAAAATTAGCCTGCTATATTTGATCAGGCTGATTTGATGAGGTGGGTGATGTTAGCTGGTATTGATGTTAAGGGCCGAAGATCAAAAAAGTGAAAATGCCTAGACTAGACTAGCATTCAAAACTGAATTTTTTCTCTTTTCCCAAACTGGTTGTACACTGGAGTCATCTGTTGCACTTTAAAAATTATTTATTTTATTAGGAAATAACTCAAGCATATAAATAACAATAAAGGCTAATGTAATGAACATTGGTATACTTACAACTTATTTTGATCAAATTTTAACATTATGCTTCAGTTGGTTTCTTTAATATATTGAGGTCTTTTGGTCCCTCTGCAGGATCTTATTCATCTCCTTTTCTCCCCAGAGGTAACCATGGTCATGAATTGAGCATTTAAATCGTTCCATGCCAGTTTTGTTTTTGATGATTTTTAAATTGATTTTTAGAGGAAGGGAGATGAAGAGAGAGAGAGAGAAACATCAATGTGAAAGCAAAACATCAGTCAACTACCTCCTGCATGTCCCCTCTTGGGGATGGAGCCTGCAACCCGGTCATGTGCTCTGACCAGGGATTGGGCCTGCAACCTTTCTGTGTACAAGATGACACCCAACCAACTGAGCCATACTGGCCAGAGCTCCATGCCAGTTTTTATATTTATGTTTATGTTTTTATACATAAATGGGATATTGTTTTGCAGATTTTTAAACATGTAAAAATGGTATCAATAATATCATTCTGAGATTTTATTTGAATTTAACTTTGTTTTTTATTTAATGTGTGTAATTCTAGTACTATATATATATTTTTTAATGTGTTTTTATTGATTTTAGAGAGGGAGTGAGGGAGAGAGAGAAACATTGATTGGCTGCCTCCTGTACGCCCCCTACTGGGGATCAAGTCCAAAACCCAGACCCGGAATCCAATCGGAGACTTCTTGGTGCATGGGATAACGCTCAACCAACTGAGCCATAGTGGTGGGGCTCTAGTACTATATTTTAATATTAAATTTATCTACAGAATTCAACAACTATACCAGTATCTAGTAATTTTCTATTAGTGGGCATTTATGTTGTTAAAGAAGGTTTTTTTTTTTTTTTAAACTATTTTTAGTCTCTAAATCAGTGGTTCTCAACCTTCCTAATGCTGCAACCCTTTAATACAGTTCCTCATGTTGCGGTGACCCCCAACCATAAAATTATTTTTGTTGCTACTTCATAACTGTAGTTTTGCTACTGTTATGTCTTAGGTGACCCCCGTGAAAGGGTCATTTGACCCCCAAAGGGGTCGTGATCAACAGGTTGAGAACCGCTGCTCTAAATGAATAAGGATAATTTTTATTTTAATGATGGAGTAATTGAGAGCAACTTATTTTTGGAGGCAGTATAACCATAGTGGTTAAAATGATGGGTTCTGGAATTAGGCTATTTGAATTTTGGCTCTGTAATACTATTGATTAACTCTGATCTTCAGCAAGTTCCTTAATATCTCTTCGTTAAAGTTTCTTTCTCTGTAAAATGGGTACAGGAATTATACCTGGTTTATAAGATTATTGCAAGGATTATATGAGATTAATTTATGCAAAACATTAGCACAGTACCTGGCATATAGTAACTGCTCAAAAATATTTTAGCTATTTAAATACTTGTTTTTTTTACATAAACAGGTGATGCTGTATGTATTTTCTATAACTTATGTTTACTGAGTAATATATGTCTCATTTTTTAAAATTCTGTTTCATATGATATATGGTTTAATTTCACAGTCAGTGCTAATTAAAAACTTAAATAAAATACTTAACCCATCATCAAATGTTACTGGAGGAAGAGGCTAGAGCTGTTGTAGTCCAAATTCTTTTTAGTTTCATTGGATTAAAATTTATACCTCCGTATGGTTTCTCCAGTTCTTCCCCTTTGGAATGTACAGAGTAAGTCTTAATTCTTTGATAGAAAGGAAGAAACTGAATCATCTCTCTATACTAACTTTATCTAGTGTCTTCAGCTGTGCTGCACATGGTATTCTATAGATATTTAACCTTTGGAAAATTGCAGAAAGTAGTAACCCACAAATTTTACCTTTTCTTTTCACTCCCCAGATTTGATTCAGGTAGCTTTTTTCACCTGTTCATTTGACCTGGCAATTAAAGATGTTAAATCACCTTGGTGTGATGTTTTTGACACAGATGATGCAAAGGTAAGTATTAATTTGCCGTTTCTTTGCTATTTGTAACTAGTTTGGGTGCATAAAACTCTGGAAAACATTCTTCCATTGTGATTTGATTTCTATGTCCGTCCAGTTAAAAACATATTTAACCTAACATCAGAGTTTATTGCTGGAAAAGCTAACAGAACTAATATAATTTAAATTCTTCTTTTTATAGGAAGCCAAGGCTCAGAGAATATGAATGGTTTTCCAAGTACCTGTTTCTTTTATAAGTTTTCATGATAAGTTGAGTTCTGTTTCACTTGGTGGTGGCAGTAATTCATCTACAATTCCTGTCTGCCTACTTTATATGTTTTCCTCTTCTTTCGTATACCTTCTTTGTAGACAGACCTCTGGTGACTCAGAGAGGCAAATTCTGGTCAGTTCTGGGATGTTGGAAACCAGAGAAGTGAGGTAGGAGAGTGCTAATTACTTTTTTAAGTATTGAGGATTGCAGCCTTGATAGAATTCTGGGCTGAGAGTAGGATATGTTTGTATGTATAGATCATTCAGGAATGTGGGCTTTTGAAACCATAGTCATCCCCATCCCTTGCATACATGTGAAATCTTCAGTAGTCCATATGAAAATAAATTAACTTCAAAATTTAACCTCAGATTTTGAATAGTATGCTATTTTCCAGATAGAAGCAGCCTTTTAAAGTGAGAGCTAATGTATATTTGAAGAAAAACAAGTGATTTATTTTGTTCCTCAAAGACTTAAGTGACCAGCAAGCAGATTAAAAGTGGTTTTGTGTGATTTTGTACCAGTGCAGGACTAGGGCTTAGTGAGTGAGTTGGAAAAAGGGAAAAGGGCACTCAGTAGATGATTCTCTAGAATACTGAGCACTAGTAGTAATAGGTGTGTTGTATTTTCTCTCTTTGCTTCTGAATTTCCTGGTGATCTGCTTTTTCTTTGTCCCAAGTACCTAGTATCTTTCTTATCTCTTCTTACTGTCCATAACTCATCACTTCAGAAACCTCCTGGTGTATACCCTCTTATGATATGCCCTGTGCTTAGGATGCTCATAAAATTTAACTTTTAAATTGGGATACTTTTAAAGTGAAATGAGCACCATTAATAAGTATGCTGGTATAGGTATAAACTGAAACTTATGGTCACCATTTATATATTTGTCAAAATATCTCACCTCCCTTTTATCCCTACCCAGATTGCTCTAGGAAAGAAAGCCAATAAACAGAATTGAAGTAATTTTCAGTATTGTGAAACTGACTGATGGGTGTTGGCAAAAAGGAAATTTACCTTTTAACAGAACAACTTAATTTGCCCAAGTTACTATAGTTGTGGGACTTGTACTTCCCTTCCTTTCTGTATTTGAATCCCTCTCCTTTTAAACATTGTGCTCTCTTTCTGTTTGCTCATCTTGCCTTTCTCTTCTGGGAGGTAGTTTTATATATTATAAAAACCCTGGAAGTTAAGATCTGGGTTAAAGAAACACTTAATCTTTCTGTGCCTTGATTTCCTTATCTATAAAAGATGGAACTATCTGGTGACTCAGGAACACTCCTGTAACTGTGAGATTCTATACTACTTGTCTTCTTCCTTTTCTTTTTAAGAGTATTCTTTTATCTCTTTATTACTTATGAATGCCTCCTTTCCCTGCAACTTATTTTGAAAATTTTCAAATAGAGGCTGTAACAGTCATACCATGAACGTTCATATCCTTCACTTACATTCACCAGTTGTTAACCTTTTTTTGCTCCATTTGCTTTTTTTTGTATATATCAGTTACCATAGACTTAGTGGTTTAAAATAATACAAATGTATTATCTTCTGTAAGTCAGAAGTCTAAAATGTTTCTTACAGGGCTGAAGTCAAGGTATTAGCAAGGCAGTATTCTTTCTGGAGGCTTTAGGGGAAAACCCATTTCTTGCCTTTCCGGTCCCTAGAGGCCACCTGCATTCCTTGTGTCATTCTGACACCTGCTTCCATGCTTTTGTCCTGTACTCTGACTGTCCTTTCTGTCTACTTAAAAGGATCTGTATGGTTATATTGAGCCCTCTTGGATAATGTAGGATAATTTTTCCATCTTAAAATCCTTAACTTAATCAAAAATCCCCATGTCCTGGCTGGTTTGGTTCAACAGAGCATTGGCCTGAGGACCGAAGGGTTGCAGGTTCGATTCCTGGTCAAGGGCATGTACCTCTGTTGCAGGTTTGATTCCCGGCCCTGCCTGGTCTAGGTCTTGCGTCCAATCAGTGTGTCTTTTTCCCATAGATATTTCCTTCTCTCTCTCTCTCTCTTTCTCTCTCTCTCTCTCTCTCTCTCTGTCTCTCTCTCTCTCTTTCTCTCCCTCTCCCTCTCCCTCCTCCCCTCTCTTCCTCCAGCCCTCTCCCTCCTTTCTACTCTCAAAAAAATCAATGGAAAAATATCTTCAGGTGAGGATTAACCAGGAAAAAAATCTCTTTTGTCGTGGAAAATAACATATTCATAGGTTCCAGGGATTAGGATATAGACATCTTTGGGGGTCATTTATTCTATCACATATATGTAATCTTTTTTCTTTGCAAATATCAAGAAACTTCACCCTTAAATACTTGGTCATGCATCTAAACAAAAAGATTCTCCTGCATAACCATAATAACATATAATTATATGAGGGAGAGGGAGAGAGAGAGACAGAGAGACAGAGAGACATATAATTATATATATAGTACAATACCATCTAACATACAGTCAGTATTCAAGTTGTCACACTTGTATTAATAAAGTTCTATTCTTGTAGCTATATTTTTTAAAAATTTAGGATCCGCCTGGCCAGTGTGGCTCAATGGTTGAGCATCGACCCATGCACCAAGAGGTCACCAGTTCGATTCCCGGTCAGGGCACGTACCCAGGTTGTGGGCCGATCCCCAGTGGGGGCGTGCAGGAGGTGGCCAGTCAGTGTTCTCTCTCATCGATATTTTGATCTCTCACTTTCTCTCCCTTCTTCTTTCTCTAAAGTCAATAAAGAAAACAAAAATTAAAGAAACTTATAAGTAGGGTACACTCTAAAAGAACGACAAAAAGTATATTAAATATATAAACCAGTAGGATAGTCATTTATTGTTATTATCAAGTGTTATGTGCTGTACATTTATGACTGGCAGGCAGCACAGGTTTGTTTACACCAGCATCATCATAAACATGTGAGTAATGTACTGCAATGTGACATAATGGCTACAATGTCACTAGGCAATAGAAATTTTTCATTATAATCTTAGGGGACCACTGATATGTATGTAGTCTGTTGTGCATAATTGTAGTTCACTTATCACTGCTGTGTAGTATTCTGTTGTATGAATTGTCTGTTTTTAAATCCATTATCTTGTTGGTAAACATTTAGGTTGTTTTCAGTTTTGGGGCTATTTTGTTCCATTTTATGGTTGTTTATATCAGGAGGGCATGACTGATATCAGTTGTTATAGCAGTTGATACATCCTTTTAATATACTGCTAAATTTCATTTGGTAATGTTTTATTTCCAATTCATTAAATCATGTTTATAGTGAGGTTGGTTTATAGCAGTGGCTGTTGTTTGTGAGTGATACTACTGACCTGGCCCTACTCTGCCTTTGGGGAGTTAGAAATGTAAGGGGGAATTTTTGTTTGTAGCAATGGCTAGGAATCACAGTTGGCATTTAGTGTGTGTGAGCATGGTAATGCAGTGGTCTGAATTTTCTCTCCTTGTCACTTTTTCTTTGTCCTTTCTTTGTCCAGTTTTGGTAATAGGCTTCTATTTGCTTCCTAAAATGAGTTGAGAAGCTCTCCATCTTTTTCTGTGTTTTAGAATAATTTACATATTAGGAACTAACTTCCCTGAAGGTTTGGTAGAACTCATTGTTAAAGCCAACTGTGCCTGGTATCTTTCAGGTAGACCTTTGACTCTGTTTTGTATAGTCAGTTTGGGTACCTTGTATTTTTCTAACCACCCATTTCATTTACATTTTCAAATCTTTTTGATATGAAGTTTTGACAATTATCTTTTTTTAATTTATTTTTCTTTATTGATTTTAGAGAGAAAGGGAGAGGGAGAGAGATAGAAACATTGATGAGAGAGAACATCGATTGGCTGCCTCCTGCATGCCCCCCACTGGGGATCAGGCCTACAACCTGGACATGTGCCCTGACGGGGCATTGAACTGGCGACCTCTTGGTGCATGGGTCATTGCTTAACCACTGAGCCACACTGGCTGGGCAAGACAATGGTATTTTAAATGTCTCAAGTTCTAGCTACTTTTTTATTTCTGATTACCATTTTTGTTTTATTTCTTAAATAGATTTGATAGAACTTTATATTTATTTTTATTTCTTTACTTTTTAAAAATGTTTACTTTGAGCCCTGGCTGGTTTGGCTCAGCAGTTAGAGTGTCAGCCCGAGGACCAAGGAGTCCCAGGTTCAATTTCAGCCAAGGGCATGTATCTCAGTTGCGGTTCATCCCTGGCCCTGATTGGAGTCATGTGGGAGGCAGCCAGTCAGTGTGTCTCTCTCACATCAATGTTTCTCTCTCTCTCTCTCTCTCTTTCTCCCTTCCTCCCTCCCACTCTATCTCAAAATATCCTCGGGTAAGGATTAAAAAAAAAAATTGAACTTTTTGCTAACTTCTTGATTTAGTTGCCTTTTTAATATATATGTAGTTTTGTTTTGGTTATATGGCACTAGCCTTCTCTTGCTCTTGCTCTTAAATTTATAGCTTGTACTTAGTTTCTCTAGGGGCTCTTTTGGGAAGAATGGCTCAAAACTACGACGTAAGCTTCTCTCGTTTACCTCTGTTGGTTGCAGGTTTTAGTTTTCTAGTTTTGGTGTTTATCTGATCAGATGATAATTGAGTACAGGGTTTAACATTCAGATAAAGGCTACCCTAATCACCAACTCCAATTAATCATTGCTGTCAGTGTGATGTGTACATTTCTACTGTTTTTTATGCTGCTATTTATAATCTGTATCATTCTTAGAAATGTAAACAGTATAGTGTTTGTGCTTTGCTAACAAATGGTCATTTTACTGTTTTTATTATTCTTAACTTGCTCTTTCATTCAGCAGTGTATCTTGGAGAGCTTCCATGTCAGTATTTTTGAATATCTACAACAATGTACATTCCTTTCAGCAGCACCAATTTTTCATGTCCTTGGTCTACTCTTATTCCTTGTATTTTTGCCAAACTGATACATGATCCAAAGTAATTCATTTCTGTCTGGTTTCTGCCTTCCTAAAATTTTTAAAATTTCCTGATCTGTTGGCATCATTCTGTACTATAATGAATATTATTCTATGTATATCTTTTCTTTTTCTGTATATATCTTTGCTATCATCTTATTATAATTTTACAAGGGGATGTGAGCACATGGCTTTAATAGCCCACTGTTCTTTCTGAACTGTTACGGATGATGGATTTGGGGCTGTGAGTACTCACTGGCTTTTGCATGCCATCCTCTACATCCCCACAATTTAAATGTGTGTATTAACATATATATCTGTGTCATGGGCCTTTGGGCCCAATTAGTAAGTACTTGAAATGGCAAATGAAAATTAGTGAATCTGTTACATGAATAAGAATGAACAGTAATGATTTTTGAAATTTTTATTTTTAGGTATTAGAATATTTAAATGATCTGAAACAATATTGGAAAAGAGGATATGGGTATACTATTAATAGTCGATCCAGCTGCATCCTCTTTCAGGATATCTTTCAGCAATTGGACAAAGCAGTTGATCAGCAAAAAAGGTAAAAACTAAAAAAATTTTGTTTTAATCGTCACCCAAGGACATGTTTATTGATTTTAGAGAGCGATACAGAGAAACATTGACATGAGAGAGAAACACTGATTAGTTGCCTCTCTCACGTGCCCCAAGTAGAGACCAAACTGGCAACTCAAGCATGTGTCCTGACTAGGAATCGAACCCGAGACCTTTCAGTGTACGGGATGATGCTCCAACTAACTGAGCCACACTGGCTGGGGCATGCTGTATATTTTGTATGCCCAGTTAAGCTTCTGGAAAATGTGTTTTGTTTTCTTTTGTTTTCCCATTGCTTTATAGAGAGAATGGAAGGGAGGGAAGGAGGTGGGAGGGGGAAGAGAGAGAAACATCAATGTGAGAGAGACACATCGATTGGTTGCCTCCTGCATGCACGCCAACCAGGGCCAGGAGTGGAACCTGCAGCCCAGGTATGTGCCCTTGACCTGGAACCAAAACTGCAACTCTGGTCTGCAGGCCAATGCTGTAACTGCTGAGCCACACCAGCAAGGGCAGGAAAATGTTATTTTTTTAAAGGGTGATTTTAAAAAATAGATTTTGCTTGTGCATTTAAAAATATTTAACATAGCCTGCCCAGTGTGGCTCAGTGGTTGAGCATTGACCCAGGCACCAAGAGGTCGCCGATTTGATTCCCAATCAGGGCATATGCCCAGGTTGTGGGCCTAATCCCCAGTTGGGGACATGCAGGAGGTGGCCAGTCAGTGTTCTCTCTCATCAGTATTTCTGTCTCTCTCTCTAAAATAATTAAAATAAAAAATTTAACATAATTTACTTATAAAAGGATTAGATGACTAATGTAAGTAATAAAGCATATAAACTCTCTGTTCAACCCAAGAACTAGAACAGTACTACCAATTTGCATTATTTAGTTATTCCTATCCCCTGTCATTACTATTCTGATTTAGTGTATATCATTTCTTTGCCTCTTTAAAAATAGTTTTTCTTATGAATGTATGTACACCCAAGCAGTAAGTTTAGTTTTGCTTAGAGTTATATGCTTATTGTCTCATGAAACTCATTTTTTTTCCCCTCAACATTATAATATTCATCATGTTGTTGCATTTACTAGTGTACAGTATTCAATAATGTGCTATATTCAGTTAATAAATACCATAATTTATACCATCTTCTCTTGTCAGTGAGCATTTGGGAAGTTTTTGGTTTTTCTGTTACTAATTGTGTAATTGTCCATGGCTCCTGGTATGAATTGCAAGATGTTTTGATTTTAAATGAGAGCTTCTCATTATAAAGTCTTTTTAACATTCATACTTTTCAAGGTTTTTTGACAAATATGCTTCCATGAAAGCTTATAGATTTACAGTTGGAGACAAAAGTCAAGCTGTAAAGATTGAGCCAAAAAGACTGAAGATGGTGTATCTGATTTGTGTTTGCAGTATTAAGTTTTATGTACATATATGTGTGTATATATATTTTTGTATATATAAAGAGAAAGGAATATTTTTTGTGTCAATGTGACTAGTTTAGGGAATTTTCTTGGGTTTGATGGGACTTAAGGAAGAAAATCATATTAGTTTTCTGCTGCCACTTTTGGGGGGAAAATTGTCAAGGTAAGTTCCGTCTTTGAGATAGGCATTAACTTCTTTTCTATTTAGTTTTGTGAATGGTTCAAAATTTGTAGACTTTATGAAATAACAGGCTTTTACTATCTATTCATTGGTCATCCTGTTGTTGAATGTGAGGTGTGGCAAACTTTAAATTGTGTCAGAAATATTCTTAATTAACTTTTGCAAAGTTTGCGATTATAATTTGATATCAGACTTAAAGCTTAAGTAAGAAGGTTATTGCTGGTGTTTTAAAATAAGTGTGTTGCTCTGGCTGGTTTGGCTCAGCGGTTGGAGCGTCGGCCTGCGGTACAGAGAGACCCGGGTTCAGTTCCCGCTAAGGGCACGTACCTCGGTTGCAGTTTGTCCCCGGCCCTGGTTGGTCGTGCGGGTGGCAGCCACTCGATGTGTCCCTTCACGTGGATGTTTCTCTCTCTCTCCCGCTCTATCTGAACAAAAAATGGAAAAAATGTCCTCGGGTGAGGATAAAAAAAAAATAATAAAATAAGTGTGTTTATGTACACTGAAAACCATAAAGTATTACACAGCGAAATTAAAGATGACAAATAAATGCAGAGATATACTGTCATTGTGGATTGAACAATTCAGATTGATCATCTATTGACCAATTGTGATTTCTATCACCATCCAATAGGTCTCTGTAGAAATTGAGCTTATTCTAAAATTGAGACAGAAATGCCAACCATTTCTGAAGAACTAAAGGACTTATAAATACTTGACTACAAAACTTATTGTAAAATTGTAGCCATAGACAAATAGATAAATGAACTAGAATAAAGTCAAGAAATAAACTTACAAGTCAGTTTTTGACAGAGATACCAAGGTAAATGCATTGGAGAATAGGATATTCTTTTCAGCAAACTGTGTTAAAACAATTGGATATCCTTATGTTAGAAAATGACACATAGATCCTTACTTCACACTATACACAAAATGGATCATAGATTTAAATGTAAAATTGGAAAACTTCTAGAAGAAAGGACTAATGACCTAAATATGAGCTAGAACTATGAAACTCTTAAAAGAAAATGAGTACATCTTTATAATCTTGGATTAGGCAAAGATTTCTTAGATACACCACCAAAAGCATGATCTATTAAAAAATTGATAAAATGGACTTCATCAAAATTAAAAATCTTTGTGCTTCAAAAGGTACTATTTAAAAAATTAAGAAGACAAGCAGTACACTTGAAGAAAGCATCTTACTAATAAAGAAATATTGCAATTTGATAAAAGGGCAAAAGATTTGAACAGAAGTTCACTAAAGAAGATCTATGGATGGCAAATAAACACATGAAAAGATGCTCAACATCATTAGATATTAAAACCACAGTGAAATACCACTAACATACTCCCTAGACTTGGCTGTGAAATAATAGAAAAAATATATATTGATCTCTTCCCCATATTTCTCTGACTCCTGAAACCCTTGTAGGTTCCTGGTTGATAGGAGTGTCTTTGCTTCTAATGAGGCAGCTCTGGGTGAGCTCCTGGACAGCTCGGGATGAGGAATGGAAAGGCCAAGTCATGATTAGAAGCTTGGAATTTTTAGTCTCATGCTCTCATTCTCTTGGAAGGGAGAAGGTCTGAAAATGGAGTTAATGATCAGTCATGACTACATGATGGAGCCACCATAAAAATTCAAAAAGGGCCTGGCCAGTGTAGCTCATTGGTTGAGCCTCGGTCCATGCACCAAGAGGTTGCTAGTTTGATTCCCGGTCAGGCCTAAGTTGTGGGTCAGGCCTAAGTTGTGGGCCTGATCCCAGTGAGGGGGGGCATGCAGGAGGTGGCCAATAGATGTTCTCTCTCATTTATATTTTTGTTTGTTTGTTTGCTTTAAATATGCAATTATTTTCTCCCATGCTGTGGAGCCTTTTTATTTATTTATTTTCTATCCTCACCCAAGGACATTTTTGCATTTATCTTCAGATAGAGTGGGAAGGAGAGAGGGAGGAAGAGAGAGAGAGAAACATTGATGTAAAAGAGACACATCGAGTGGTTGCCATCCACACGACCCCAACCAGGGCTGAGGACAAACTGCAACCAAGGTACGTGCCCTTAGTGGGAACCGAACCTGGGACTCTCTGGTCCTCGGGCCGACACTGAGCCAAACCGGCCAGGGCTTTCATCGATGTTTCTATCTTTCTCTCCCTCTTCCTCCCTTCTTTCTAAAAATCAATAAAGAAAAAAATATTTTTTAAAAAAATTGAGAAAGGTGTAGTGTTCTGGGAGATTCTGGGTTGCTGAGAAAGTGGCAGGCCTGGAAAGGACCTGGAAGATCTGCCCCTTCCCACATACCTTACCCTATATACAGCTCTCATCTGGGTGCGCGTCTGCATCTTATCACATTCTTTGATCACAAACTAGAAGATGTAAATGTATTTTCCTGAGTTGTGTGAGCCGCTCTAGAAAATTAATTGAACCCAAGGAGCGGGTGTTGGGAACCGTTGATTTGTAGCCAAATTGGACAGAAGTTGTGGGTAACCTGGGTGCCTACTCCTTCTTATTGGCACCTGAAGTAGGACTGAGGGCTTCACCTGTGGGATTTGACTCTATCTCCAGGTAAGTAGTCTCAGAATTGAGTTAAATTGTAGGTGGTATCACAGAGAATTGCTTGGTGTGGGAAAATACTCATATATTTGGTGACTAAGAGTGTCAGAAATGTGAGTATGGTAGTGTGAGAGTAAAAAAGAAACACAGGAGGAAAGACTGGGTGTTTTTATTATAGACTGGCTAACATTTTAAAAATTGATTGTCCTAAGTGTTGATGAGATTTTGGGAAACTCTAAGCCTCATACATTTTTGCTGAGAATTTAAATTGTACAGCCACTCAATAAAGTTTGGCAGCTTCTTAAAAAGTTTAACATATATCTACTCTGATTTAGCACATCCAGTCCCAAGTACCCAAAAGGAGTGAAAATATGTTTACAGCAGTATTAGTAATCATAGCTAAAATCTATGAACAGTTCAAATAAACAGAATCATTCAATATACAATCTTATATCAGTCAGTCAGTATAATGCTTTTGAAATCGTTCATTTCATTGCACCCATTATTAGTTCATTTCTCTGTATAAAATATATTGCAAACGAATTGGCTCTAGTAGTCCCATAGAGCCATTACTTTTTTCAAAAATGGACTTTATTTTTTAGACTGCTTTTAGGTTCACAGCAAAATTGAGTGGAAGGTAAAGAGATATCTAATATACCCCTTACCCCACAGCCTTTCCACTATCAAAATTCCATACCAGAATTAGTTTTTTAAAAACAGTTTTATTGAGTCCTGGCCGGTTTGGCTCAGCAGTTAGAGCGTCGGCCTGCAGTCCAGAGAGACCTGGGTTCGGTTCCCGCTAAGGGCACATACCTCGGTTGCAGTTTGTCCCCAG